TAATTTTACAAAAAAATTATCATAAAATAAAAAATATTATTACATTATAATATGAATGATTATTCTAATATATGAATTAACTATTTTTATTTTATTAAAAAATAATCATTAAATAAAAAATATTGATTATATTATAATATGAATTATCATTACAATTTTCAAACGTTATTATAAAGTCAAATTAAATTATTGATTTGAAATTTTAAATTAAATCATAATTAATCAGATCAGACCAGATCAGATCAGATAAGACCAGATCAGATCAGATCCAATCAGATCAGATCAGATCCAATCAGATCAGATCAGATCAGATCAGATCAGATCCAATCAGATCAGATCAGATCAGATCAGATCAGATCAGATCCAATCAGATCAGATCAGATCAGATCAGATCAGACCAGATCAGATCAGAACTTATTAGAATCAGATCAGATCAGAAAAAATAAGTTGAACGGAACGGAGCCTAAGAACATCTCCGCATAGACTATATTGTGGTAGTCTGAAAAGTCTATTTTGCACTGTTAACAATGTTTTGCACATTGATGTTTTTTAAAGGAAAAAGACTAAAATAAAATATTGAAAACATTGAGAACAATGAAAAAGACTAAAATATTGAAAATATACTAAAATAAAATTTTTATGTTTTTATTCCCGAAATATAAGTTAAAATGTATTTACATTACTAAGCATGACCATGTACATTACCAAAAATGTCTATGTACTGTGCAAGATTACCACAGTGCAAACTTCTATTTAGGATATTAAAAACATGGAACTTCTATTTTGATAATTTATCTATGTTTTACTCATATTTAGGGTGATTTCTTCTTTTTTAATCATTTCAATCATGTCTTTCTGTTAAGTATGAACAGATACATTGTTATAAAGTCAAAAACATTAAAAAAGAGTACATAATACAGAGTAATTTTTTTATTGAAGAGTGATAATCTTACACCAAATTTTGGTCAAAACTTTGACCCAAATATCAATAAAATACGGTGTAATGTAATTAGCGGGGGTGCGGGGATGCGTTGGGGACGGGATGGGCTTGGGGGTTTATCGGGAGGGTAGGAGGTAGGAACAATTAATTACGATCAGAGCACTGTAGGTGTTCCAATTGAATTGTGTAACAATCTTACACGATAAATGGTGTAAGATTACCCCTCCTCTTTTTTTACTCCCTCTGATCGTAAAAATCTTTCATATTTTGACTTTTTTTGGTCAAACAGTAATACTCTTTGACCACAAATTAAATATAATTTAAATAAATAAATGATATAAAAATTTGATATATCAAAACTATATCCTAAGATGAACTCAATTATATTAAATTTATATTGTTATTAAATATACTTTTCTCGCAATTTGTGGTCAAAAGGTGTCATTGCTTGACAAAAAAAGTCAAAACAGAAAAATTCTTTTAAGAACGGAGGGAGCATTATTTTAAGTTATTTGTTCATAATAAATATTTAAATAATTGTTAGGATATTTATTTAAATGATAGGATAGGATATCCCCAAAAAAATTTACAAATTTTTATAATAAAGAAGTTGAAATGCAACTTTTACAGTATCTGCATGAAACTTGTATAAATACATGGTAGGAAATGTTTTTTATACTATTTTACTTTAAATAACTTATTTTATAACCTCCATTAGAATTTTAAAAAAGAAATATTTGCACTAAATAGCACTAAAACTTAAGTCAATTCTCTAAATAACACTTAAACGGTTTTATTCCCTAAATAGCACTTAATAATGTCCATAATGTCTAGTGATGGCGAATATTTGCTTGAATAATGACTAATGCATAATGACTAAAAATGCTACATTGGGAAGAAAAACACATGTAGTGTTATTTAGGGAAAGTCATTATGTTTTAGTGCTATTTAAGTAAATTTCTCTTGTCTTTCGCCAATTTATATTGGAATTTCGAATTCGAGTTGTAATTAACGCATACTGCAGAAGTAAGGTACATTTTCGAGTAGTATACATTTTGAAGTAATGTAGTACTTATTCTCTCACAAAACATAAGTGTTCATTTTGAAGTAACGTAGAACTCTTTCTGAAATAATATAATACTCATTCTGAAATAACATACTAATCATTCTAAAATAATGTCGTGTTTATTTTCACACATTTTTTCAAGGGAGAAAAACCAAAATAGCACTCTAAGAGCATTAAAATACTCTAAATAGCAGTGCTATATGTTTCGTACCTGTTATTCCGATTTTGTCCTTTAATTAAACAGCAAATGTTCATTATGCACTGCCAAAAAATATGATTGTTTTGGGCAGTGTGGTTGTTCACTCGTAGTTGTGTAGTGGGCAGTGTGGTTTTATATGTGAGTTTTTAATGTGGCAGTGTAGAATGGATATATGTTGTTATATTTTATGGCAGTGTGTAATTGTATTATTGTGTTCCCTAATTTCATGTTGTAGTCCATTGATTTATGTGGCAGTGATTTCATGTATGAATTCTACACTGTCAAAAAGTGTATGATTATTTTCATGTATAAATTTCACACTGCCCAAAAAATGTATAGCTCTTTTTATGTATGAATTTCACACTGTTTTCATGTATGAATTCCACACTGCCAAAAATGTATATGATTGTTTTCATTTATGAATTCCACACTGCCCAAAAATGTATGACTCATTTCATGAATAATCTATTACACCAAAACACACTGGCCAAACATGGACTTGGCTTTTTTTGGTCTTTCTTGATTTTGTATAATGTTAGAAGATGTTAGTATTAGACATATGCTGAATTTCATTTATGTGGTACTGAAAAGAAATGGATAATGAAGGTATTATGTTGTAAATTTTAAGACTTTATAAGCAGCATACACTGCAACATTATGTAGAATTGTGCAACATGGCACACTGGCCAAAACATAGGACATAACAGACTGCCAAAAAGTATACCTAGATCACAAGCATTCCACACTGGCAAAAATCTTTGAGCTTACACTTCATACTTTGTTTATTAAAGTTATTCAAGCACTAGTCACTTTGGTGATTTTTTTGTATCCGCTTCTAATGGAACTCAATGAATAATTTATTACATTGGAATTTTTAGATATAAATCCCATTTGACCAAAACACAGTAGGCAAACATGGTCATAAGACATTTCCAAAAAGTATAGCTAGAAGTTGATTATTCCACATTGTCAAAAAAATATCAGCCCCTATTCAGTAACACGTTTCCATAACGAACTCTTGAATGTTCAAACCCAATAGTCATAGAACGAAGCACATGGCTTTTGCACAATATGAAACTCAATTCATAATTCATAACATTGGCAGTTTTATATGTACGTCTAATTTCACTGCCATATTATTAATGGAAGTTAATGAAGTACATACAAATTTGTTTAGGCCATGAACTTTTATACACTGCCATATTTTCACTTTTGTCTGCCACATTATATATAGAAGACAAATTCACTGTCAGAAAGTGTTTGCAGAACATGATCAATCTGTACTGCCCATATATTTATAGCCACCATATTGAGTAACACATTTCATAACAATCTCTTTCATTGTAAAACTCTATTGTCATAAAATCAACCACAAGCTGTTTGTACAATATGAAAGTCAAATAATAATTTATAACATTGGTAGTTTTATATGTAAGTCCCATTGTCACCACTTGTTTATAGAATTTTATATGTAGTTTTTTTAATATATAATTCCTATTTTTTAATTATACACCAATTTTTACTTATATTGATTTGAAAATAACTTCAATCAAACATCGTAAATCGAATAAGAGCCCTATTTTGGGATGAAGAAGTATTTATAATTGGCATGTTTTTATGATATAATTGTGATATATCGTATTTTTATTATATATATTTATTCAAAACTACATTTAATTGATTGAAGAAAGAATTTGATAAAAAAGAGTACTATGCCATTATGCACAAAGTATACATTATGTGAGTCCGAATTTGATATAGGAGTTGAAAGAGGAATTGAAACAATTGATAGTGGGATATATAAAAGAGATTGACAACATAAAGGGTATGATTGGAAGAAATTGACAACATATATAGCTAATTTGGTAAAAAACAATAAGCAGTTCTAAATGCGTAGTATTAGATGAGTTAGAGTGCTACATAGGGTGATTTCTTTTTTTTCAATACAATTATAATATTCATTTGGCTGTCAAAAAAAATTATAATACGGAGTATTTATTTACAAATAACATAGTATTCATTCTGAAATAAAAGAATACTTATTCTCAAATAACTTAGTGTTCATTCTCAAGCAAAATAAAATTTATGCTTCTTTCTTTCTCTCCTACTCGACTCGACCAAACATCTAGCTAGGGTTTTTCATCCATCTGATAACTTCGCCGAACAGTGGCCGCGCCTCCGCTCTGTCATCGGTGTGCCTCTCCTTCGCCGAAAAGTGGATTTCTTCTTCGATCGTCGCCCTCCCTTCATCCGTGCCTCTCCTCCAATCCAAAATTACCGGTTGTGCTCTTGGCATGCGTCTTTTTGTCGTTTCGTTTTACTGGTTGTACCCAACTTTGGTACAGACGATTGTATAATATCATTTGCGTCTCACGTCTTAGTTACAATTCTAATCTCATAATAGAGTTGTGCTCCCATAATTTTAAAATCCACATGTAAAATGTGAACTTTTTTATACTTTTCATAGGCCGGCACAGAGATCTTATCTTTTCAAAGATTCCAACATCTGATGAAGTTAGGATTGTAAGAGCATCTTTAATGAAAGATGCTTAGCAAGTTTCTTAAATTAAACAACACTTGCTTAGAGTTTTGGGTAATTTACCTAAATAGGACTAAAACATAATGACTTTCTCAATATATGACCATATGTTTTTATTTCCCAATGTAGGACCTTTGGTCATTATCTATTAGTCATTATTCAACTAAATGTCCAGCATCACTTGGACATTATTTTTTTCAATAGTCATTATTAAGTCCTATTTAGGGAATAAAAAAGCTTAAGTCCTACATTAGAAAATGACTTATGTTTTAGTCCTATTCAGTGCAAATTTCACTAGAGTTTTTCTCTATTAGAGCCAGTCTACGTGGCAGGGATAGTTACTTAGAATTAAGTAACGTTGCTTCCGTAAGTAACCGTATCTTAACAAAAAATATTTTTTCAATTAAAAAGAAGATAACCAACTAGAATTATTATTATCAGTTTTATTAAGTATTATTTTTACTATTATTATTAGTAATGTTGTTATTATTATTATTATTATTACTAATACTCCGTATTTATAATATTTTTATAATCATAAAAGAATGTTTTGTTGGCACCAATATGCAATTTCATTCTAATTTAAACCATAACAAATTGTGCTCAACATAAATGGGACTCATACTTCAATTTGTACTGTTACATTAACTATAATTTTTTTACCGTTTGAGACATGGAGTTGTGTGAATTTGTGGTATAAATAATGGTATGCCATTGATAACACTTAACACACAATCAACTACAATATTTCTCATAACCATAATCATTATGCTGCTAATATAATGAAAATCGACATAATTTTTCATCTAGAATCCATTAACAACAACAACCCAGTTGAGTCCCACTACAGTAGGGTCTGGGGAGGGTGTGTGTACGCAGACCTTGCCCCTACTCGGAAGTAGGGAGACTGTTTCCAAGAGACCCCCGGCTCAACCTGCACAAAAAATATGGTAGGGAACACAGTATAACACAGATAAAGCACCAAGTACAATGAAATGAAAGTCCTGCAAGCAATGACAAAAGATTCCAATCAAACACAACACACTACAAAAAACCTCTGCAGCACCGAGCTCCTATCCAGCTACTCTAATCCTAGTTCTCCAAAGGTTCCTATCTAAAGCCATATCCTTAGTCAGGGTGAGAAGTCCTAAATCCTGCCTAATCACCTCCTTCCAATTCTTCCTAGGTCTACCCCTTCCCCTACTTCCCCCGATAACCGTAATCCTCTCGCATCTCCGTACAGGGGCGTCAACATCCCGCCGTCTCACATGACCAAACCATTTCAACCTCGCTTCCCGCAACTTATCTTCCACCGGCGCCATGTCTGCCTGACGTCGGATAACTTCGTTCGAAATCCTATCCCACCTTGTCTTCCCACTTATCCATCGTAACATCCGCATCTCCGCCGCATGCAGACGACGCACATGAGTCTTCTTAAATGCCCAATACTCTGCCCCATATAACATAGCAGGTCTGACTACGGATCGGTAGAACTTACCTTTCATCCTAGGCGAAATCTTTGGATCACACAACACCCCTGAAGCCAACCGCCATTTGGCCCAAGCCACTCCAACACGATGTCCAACATCCCCGTCTAACTCCCTATCAACCTGGATTACCGAGCCAAGATATCGAAACTTGTCTACCTAACATCCACTTCTGATTCTGTTTCACGGTCGCTGAAACAACATTCCATGTATTCAGTCTTGTTCCTACTTATTCTGAATCCTTTAGTCTCAAGGGCAAGGCGCCATAGTTTCAACTTATCGTTTAGTCCCTCACGTGTGTCGTCGATAAGCACAATATCATCCGCGAAAAGCATGCACCATGGGACCCCTTCTTGAACACCTTGAGTTAGGACGTCCATCACCAAGGCGAACAAAAAAGGGCTAAGGGCAGACCCCTAGTGCAACCCCATCCCTGCCGAGAATGACTCAGAGTCGCCCCTGGAGGTCCTTACCCTAGTCATAGACCTATCGTACATATCCTTGATCGCGCGAGTGTACGCGATGGGAACTCCTCTCGTCTCAAGGCACCTCTATAAGACCTCCCTTGAGAGATGATTCTAGAATCCATTAACAAAAACAATAAAAGAGTCATTTTTATGAGAGATGATTCTTGAGGAATCTTTAAAAATAACATATTGGATTAAAATAATTATAAATATTTTTATTTACGTGTTTAATTAAAATAATGAAATTAAAAATTTTATGTTTGAAAAAATAAAAATGAGTTAATAAAAGATTTAGTACAAATTAAAAAAAAAAATATACAGAATTGTGAGTTGCTTAGCATTCTTACCATTGGAGCAAAATATATGAGCAGTGTTGAAGTTGTTGTTTAAGCTAATGTGGCATTGTGAGGACCACTTAAGATACGAAATGCGTGCATCTTAAGCTCTCCCATTAAAGATGTTCTGAATGACCAAGGACCAATTCTGCTCAACTTATCTTGTTGCTCACATACTTAATGTTATCGGAACCCGATCAGATTAGTTAAATTCACATCAGATCTAAAGACTTCAAATCAAATCAAGCCAAAGCAAAAACATAAACTTCATCCAACTTTAACTAGAATCAGACCAAACTAAAAAGAGTAAAAATAATTAGATAGAATCAAATCAAACTAGGCCTTAATAAATTCATATTAAAACCAATTAGATCTTATGAGGAGAACATGCTTTAAATGCATGTCTCACCACAAGACTATCTAATTCAAAAAAAAAAAGATGAACCTCATTCTCTTAAGGTTCCATACTACTGGCCTGGACAATAGACTAAGAGGAGATAAAGTAAGCTATAATATCAAACGGGTCGATAGAAAGTAGATATTCCTTGGTACATTCAAAAACCAATACGGTCCCTTTTTGCCGTTACCAGAATTGGAAACTAGATGTTACCCCCTTTGCCCCCCTTTACCAATTCAGGGTATGGATGAGGCTTTAGAGAACAAGCAGGTGAAGGAAGAAGGGAAATCACAACCAAACTACCAAAAAAACAAGCAGATGACCCCTGAAAGATCAAAGCATGGACAACACAGCCATACCAATGTGAAGAACTGGGAAAAACCCAGTAGCAAAAGAATGGAATACTACTCCAACCATCTACTGAAATCGACCCCTGATTAGTGTACACCCTACGCCCGAAACCACTCCTGGAATCAAGATCTCGACTCCGCGTTTGGCTTGAGCAACATCACAGTAAGAAGTATTGCTAAGATTTTACCGAGATGGCGAGGTAGTAGCATTCTAGAGGCTTCCGCAGTTTCTGGGCCCACAGGTCCGAATGGCGTGGGCGGGAAGAGACTACTGATACTCAAATTCGAGCTGTTGCACAAAAATATGGCAGCATTGTGTTAGATCCGAGATCAAGAAAGTATGGGTAACAATACTGCTGACCTAAATGCACATAAAGGCTCTCTCACCTTCCAGTATATCTGCAAGACCCATAACCTGAATAGGCATAAGAGGAAAACATCAGTACTTATCATTGATTTATTTGGTAAGAGACTGAAGAGCAAGACTAGCCGTTTGAACGCTGTATGGAAGGATCCCCATTTCAATAGAGATCCATTGGTAAAGCAATACTCAGACTTAAAATGTTTAATTAGCAAATGAAATAAATTCAATGTTAAGATTTAATGTTTTGTGTTTGATATGTATATCTAATGACATGTTTTCCATTTGTAAGCACTGCAATACAGGGACACACACACAAGAACAAAACAACAAACCAGTGAACTCTCAGAGATGGGGGTCGGGGAGCCGTACCTATAACGTAGAGATGCAGTTTCTGAAATACCCCGGCTCACAAGGACAAGAACAAAAGATGTCAAGTAAAAAAAACCTTAAGTTCAAATTGATAGCAATAACAAAAATGTTCGAAATGACTTTGCGCAGTATGCCATATAGCCCGCCTCATGTTTATTTCCGAAGAAAAGCGCCTTTTGGAGATCTAGCCATAGGCCATATGGGTTTATCATCTATGGAGCAAGAAGGCTATGCTATGAGGCGCACGGTAATGTGGCGGTAGGAGGTGTACACTATTTTTTAATTTGTTGCTTTTAGTTTTTAGTTACTAATTTGCCATTAAAACTTGAAAAGTTTATGTATATAAATTTTTAGTGTTATCTTTTTAGTAAAACTGGTCGCTTAAATGTCACTCCCATCATTCGGCAACTTAAGTTTGTTGCCTATAACAAATATTTTGCTCTATGTCATGGTAGACTTTGTTGCCTTTGAAATATTTTACTTTAACAATATACTTCTTTAATGTGAGTGGATTAATTTTTCTATTAATAATGTTCTATCTTTAATTCTAATAATATTTTATGCACATCATACTATCTCAGTACTTTAAAATGAGGCTTTTAGGCCTTGAGGCTTACGCAATATGCCATGGGGAAAGAACGCCTCAAAACTGCAATAAGCCATTTTGAACATTGATAACAATGTGGGTGTGCAGATCTTGACTGCACTAAATATCTTAACTCGTTGATGTCTAATGCTACTTTTTCGTGCAACATTGAAAAATTTAGAGTGATTGTGCATTTTGTCTCATTATACCTTTAGAAGGTTTTGACAAGAAAGGCATTTCACGAAAGATATCGACACGTTTGTTTTTTGTTGCATGAATTAAGTGAAATAATTCTATGCAATTAAGTGACTATAAAATTCTTGCCACTGATTAGGAACACAAGGTGTTGTTGATAATTACGACGATGACGATGATGATGATGATGATGAATGATAAAAGATACTCACTGGGGTCTATATGAGTTATTATTGCTGTACCCTCGAAATCACAAGTTCCATTCATACCAACCGCTTTGTGATAGTAGTCATTGTAGGCATAAGAAGAGAGGTTTTGCAAATTGTTAGGGGAATAACAAGGCTGCCCTGGCTGAATGTCAGAGCAATTTGCTTGCCCTGGCCCACATGCCCAGTTAAGTCCACTCTGAAGCTTCTTAGGATCTGCCCCTGGCTTTGCGACACAGAAAACTGCAGAAGAATTATCAAAACCTTTTCCTACGCCACCATCCAAAAGGGGATAAACTGCAGTCCCATTTGGAAAATATATTCCCCAGTTTCTTTCGGAGATAGGTCCAGGCCTTTTGTCCTCGTTAAAGAGCTCATAAATATAAGCACTAATGGGAGTCCCAAGCTGACTTGGCGGCCCAGAGTCATTTAAAACACGCTGGATCAGATTCTTATTAAACGCTTCAGCATTTTGCACAGTGGCATCAGGTTCTTTTGTCCCCCCAAACCATGGCCAACCAGTTTCTGTCACGACAACAGGGATGTCGGAGAAGTTGAAGGATGTAATAGCATTATATGCAGCGTCCACCATTGCATCAAACATGCTGTTGTAGTGGAAAAGGGTATTTGGGTCAACAACCTGTTTGACCGAGGAAAGCCGTTGGAAGAGGGCATACTCAATCGGGAATATGCCTTGGGATTGGACATACTGATAATAAGGATAAGCATTCAACATGAAGTAGGAATTCGTGCTTTTCAAAAACTGGAGGATCTGAAGAACCGTTGAGTTCCATGAAGGTTTGAATGTGGCAGTGGATGGGGGAAAGGCATTCATAATAATATCCATTGATTGAGGAGTCGAGACTTTGACTCGGTCATTTAGGTCAGCTGCAACCAGGGCTTTATGCAGGTATTGCAATGCTGGAACTAAAACAGGTGCGGCGTTAGGGATTGAAGTGAGGACTTCACTCCCCACTGCAATTGCTGTGATATTAGTTGATGAGATGTAAGCCGCGACATTTTTGTTCACCCAAGCAGCTGCCATTGAAGAGGATTCGCCAATCCGTAACACCTCATCATTTGTGACACCAACAGTGACTTCAATCCCAGTATGGGATAGAGCTTTGAGCATGCGAGCATCGGCATCAAAAAGCCGTACGTGTGTTATTTGATGAGCTTGAAGGAGTGCAACCGTATCTGATGCCGATGGCATGTCCGTGACATCAGTCCCAACATTTATCCCCACAAATGCACCTGTTCATGGCATGAAATAAGAAAACAGCATGCAAAAGGCATACTTCATTGGCTCTTAAGATTACCCTCTTTGTTGTTCTTATATTTTGGCCAGCTATATTGATCTCACGTTCAAACCGAATTTAATAAATACAGAGTATAGAAAAAGAAGAAAAGAAGGATAACACTGATAGAGAACCATATATTCCATTCAAATACATTCACATTTTAGGCGAAAATGTGAATTATAAGTAATTGAAATACATAAATGTCTTGAAAATTTTGAAAAAACAAAACCCCATTTTTGACATGCTAAAACCTACCACCCACCCCCCTAAAGAACATTTTATTGAGAAAAGGAGACCAAAAAGAAGATACGAGCAATTCTCAAAAATGAAACATAATGCTCTTATAACATACAAATCGAGACTCAGATATATACGGATCAACCGAAAGTACTTATCACATCCACTACTGAACATTGTTCTCTATATGACGACTATAACCAACAGAGTTTAGGTGCATTACCTGCTATCTCGGACAACAACCCACATATGAGCAGGGAGGTTCCTGGCCATAGTTTAAGCATCATTAACCACAGAACAATAGCTTTACTAGTGCTGTTGGCTTTGGTTCAGACTGAGACAGTCAACGAAGATTCCAGATCACTGTGCTTTTTAGGTATTTCTTCTTCGTTCTAGAATGGACTACCAAACCCTTGTAAGATTACCTCCAGCTTGTATGAGCAAGACTAGAACTGTACAAGTGCAAATTTACGAGCTCCTCAGGCCTCCTCTATTGATAGCCTGCACAAAATAGTCATAAGAGAAGTGAACAGCACGTCATCAAGTACCAAGAAACAGCCTTGAAGAGTTACTAATAAGTCGACTGCTACAGTCTGGGAAAGATAAAGATTTGAAACAAAGTAAAAATTCCCATGTAGTTATGACATTGCACGCCCATCAACACGAAGATACCGTACACTTTAGTACTTCAAGAATTTATCTATGAATACATGTCCAAAGGACTATGTAGTGGGACACAAATATCATAAATAGGGCTGAGCAACGGTCGGTTTCGGTTTGAAACCGAAAAAACCGAATTTTTTTAACATAGTTGAAAACCGACCGAACCGAACCGACCATAAATCAAAACCGAAAACCGACCGAAAAACCGAAAAAACCGAAAATAATTTTTACATGAAAACCGAAACCGAAACCGAACTTCCGGTTATTTCGGTTTTCGGTTTCGCGGTCGGTCCGGTTAATTTGCTCACCCCTTATCATAAACATGCTTTCGAATATTAATCAATAAATACATGTCCAAAGGGATGTGTACTATGACACAAAAATCATTAACATTACAGTTTCACTACTTCCTCTGTCCCTAAATTATCTTTCCACCTTTCTTTTACTTTTATCATCTGTCTCAAACTTTTAAGTAAAGCAACATCAGATTCACATTATTGCTATATCTTTTGAATAAATTCTGTTAAAATTCCAGCGGATCAAGAACAACGGACAAAGTGTTGGGTAAAATTAACCACTTGCATATAAAGTCGGGATCCACTATTCTAACCCAAAAGCTTAAGCTGATAGGTAGGGTTTCACCCTTCTATATATGCTAGCGGTATTGTTCTTTATTTTCCGATGTGGGAACTCCAACACTCCCCCTTAAGTGGTAACTAGCCTGGCCTAGTTAGCACTTGGACAAACGGGTCTAACATCTCAATCTCTTATAGCTAGCCCACACAACGGGTAATGACATCTCAATCTCTTTTAGTTAACTCAACTCAAACCACAAACGGATAGCTTATTTTGCTAAACCCACGCCCAACAACCAGGAAGAATCAAACCCGGACCGGACCTGGCTCTGATACCATGTTAAAATTCCGGTCGGGTATCAAAATTCAAGAGAATGAAGCTCATTCTAAAATGCTAACCAGCACTCAAAGAAAGCAATTTTGCTCAAAAAACTCCAACACAACATGAAATGCTTCAAGAACGCAAAATAGAGGTCCAAACTTAGTCTAGCTACAACTGAGCTACTAAAGCTTGCATAATTTACAAAAAAAATGAACTTGATATTCTCGCCTAAAAAAACGCTTAGAATCAGATACCCATTCTGCAACTACCTCAGAAGAAGCAAGGCAGAGTTCATGAGGTGAAACCCCGAGGAAGAAGATTAACAAATAACTTAACCCAACTGCATTATTAGTAGTAATAATAAAGAGGAGTACCTGATTTCACCTCCAATTGTTTCTCAGCAAAAACCCTACAGCAGGTAAACAGTTCCCGGTGAAAAATGTAAAATGCAGTCTTCAAATTGAGAGAGAAAGGTTTTTAAAATAAAATTGCACATAAAAAGACAAAATCTAAAGTGGGATCCGTGACATGGCCATGACCTACTCTCTACCTTTTACTAGCAAAGATAGGTACTTGTAAAACACGAGGTTACAAGCTTTGCCCGGAGGAAGCCAGAGCATCCCAATAAACTAACTGATAGAGGAGTACTTAGGCCATCTCCAATGGGGTGATCAAAAGAGATGCTAGGAGGAGATAGAGTAAAATGTTGATGGATGCTATTATTGTAGATAGATGCTCAATAAAGATGCTCAAAGAGGAAAATGAAAGGGAGATGCTTGGCCTAGCACCCGATGCTTGAGGATGGAAGAATTGAGGCATTTATTTTTCAAGATTTTTGTTCCAATATGTATGTGACATGTGTCATATTTATTATTTTTTCAATTTGAAAGTTTGCATTCATAGTTTTTTTGAAGGCTCGAAAAGTTTTTATTATTATTAAATTAGATTTGGCACCTTCAAAAAAATTAGATATGACAATGTTTTAGAACTCGAACTCTTTTTTAATGGAATGACTCTTTTTATTTATTTATTTTGAAAATTTTCTTAGGTATTTGTTTTTCTGTTTGTTTTGAAACAATATTAACTACATCATATATTGATTACATAAAAAAATTTTAAAATATTTTACAAGACAAATCTAAGAAATTTATTTTTGTATCAATATCTAATATAAGTTTTATTTAATTAAAGACCAAATTTTATTAAATTAAATGTAAAAAGTCAAAATTAGATATATATTCTAGGACAAAGGTAATATTAATAATAAACGAGTAAATAATTAATCTTATGTAAAAAATTTATCAGATAATAAGTACTTATAATTAAGAAAATAAAATATAATTATATTTATGTGGGCCCACTACATTCATTGAATAAAATGAGGCATCCATATGAGATGCCACCATTGAAAGATTAAGATGTTGAGAGAGGTGCACAATTGACACTTTTAGAGTAGAGTCCACACTTCAACATCTAGTGAGGGATGCTACCATTGTGGATGCTCTTATAGACCAGCAAGTAAAGAAATGGAATACCACTTGAGTGGAATAGCAATCAATGAAGAACAATCCCGTCAATGTTGGACAAGTCAGTGGAATAGCATGTCATGTAGTAGCAAGTCTTCATTTTTATCACTTTTGACGCTTTTTTAACATATTTTAATTATTAAAAATTATTTTATAGATTTTTTAATAAAAAAATGTACTTTTTTTTTTTAAAAAATCTTTTCTACAAAATAAAAAATAAAAAAATAAAGGAAGAAGTGTCTCGCGCCTACCATGGCATGGAGGAATGTAAGTGACACGCGAGGCGTAAATGATTTTGGGCTGGGGTGGCTAGAGGTGGAAATCGGGCCAATGGGATTAGTTCCGGATTGGATTTTTTTGGTTTGGATATCTTTCGAATATATGTTATAATCCGTTTGGATCATTTTAATTTTGGTTCAGATTTGATTCGGTTCCAAACATTTTTCAATTTTGGTCGATTTTGAGTCGGTTAGGAATCAGGTCGAATACAATTTGGATTGGATATATTTTGATTTCGGAATCGATCGACAAACTTTATAAATCACTTATTTTTTGGTCCTTCTCAGTAATTAATTAATTATCAATTAATTAATTCTGATATACCTATTTTCGGGGTGTTACATTTCTCTCCCCCTTAAAAATAATTTCATCCTCAAAATTACCGGAGTCATTGATTGAAAAGGTTCGGATATTGCGTTCTCATTGACTCTTCAGTTTCTCATGTTGCTTCTTCAGTCGAGTGATTCCTCCATAGTACTTTGACTAGAGGAACAGATTTGTTTCTCAATTACTTGATTTCTTGTGCCAGAATTTGTACAGGTTCCGCTTCATAGATCAAACGTTCGTCAAGAGTTACAGTTCTATCAGTCAACATATGCGATGGATCGAAACAATATCTTTTCAACATTGACACATGGAATACGTCGTAAATTTTGTTCAGTTCGAGCAAAAGTTCTAACCGATAGGCTACTGGACCCACACGTTCAGTGATTTGATATGGTCCAATATATCTTAAGTTCGCATGTTCAAAGTACGCATGTTAAAAGTCCATGAGCCACACACTGCTTTCATACCTCTGCAATACTCTTTGTTGTCTCGTTTTGGGGAGGATAAATATCAAGAAAATATTCCAATAAGAGAATAATTTTTTGTGCAGAAAATGTAAAGCACCAGAGAGTATCAGCGAGAGAGTTTGTTGCATTTCAAATATAAGAAAGAGAAAATGATGGTGGTATTGTGTTGCCTGCACAAAGATTGTATTTACTTTTTTGTTGATGCATACACAATAGTTGAAGCACAACAAATCTAGTACGTGCAGTTAAACAAAGATCAAGTTAGGGAGAAATTATGAGGGGCTTACATGAAGTTGTGATCAAAGATGATACAGAATCGGTAGCCATTGGCTATTTGTTGAAGATTTGATTATCGGGATTTATTCAATACTATAACATGTAATCTCCAATGGCCAAAGATTGCAATATATATGACAATAAAGAAATGTAAAGCTGAAGACATACCTGACACTGAATCTACAATCTTTAAAATGAAATTGAATCATTTGGAGAAGGATATAAAACGATACTTATATTTGGTAAAGCAATTAGAGGTAATTTTAAAGTTTGCTATATTAATTTCATTTAAATAATGAAATTGTTGTGGTTCAGAGATTCAATTTAAAATATCATCATTTGAATGTAATAATTTTGTGCATGTTTGTACACTGTAGACTTTCAAAATAGAAGCTTGCCTCATGCACATATCTGAATATGGTTACACCAGAGAGATAAACTTCAACCGTTTGAGTCGATTGATCATGTGATATGTGTAGATGTTCCTAATAAAAACAAATATCCTAGATTGTATGAGTATATATATGAACAACGGTAAACACATGAAATTTTATCCCAAAAAATTTGTTGATAAGACATCATATCGTTTAATGAGAATGGCTACCCGATATACAGACGAAGAAACATGGGGGTCACCACAATGAGCAAGGATATCGAGTTGGACAATCGATTTGTTGTGCCATACAACCCACAACTCTTGATGAGGTATCAAGATTAATCAACATTGAATATTACAATAAATCTAATTCAATCAAATATGTCTTTAAATTTGTAAATAAAAGTCTAGATAAAATAACTATTGGAGTTACCCAATCTAACTTTGACACTGTTGATCATATGGTGTATCCTCTCTTTTGATATATACACCATAGGTGGCATCGATGAAAGTGCAGACGTTAAAATCCCACCTGAACTATTGATTCTCGACACAAGTTATCCCCTCAAGAGTATAGTAGATTTCACTTATCTTTTTTTTGAATGCTATTGACTCTATTACAAGGTAGTATCTGTTCATACTATTCTCAAACTAATGACTAATGACGCACAAAGAGCCAATGCTGCTGCCTTCGCTGGGGCTCGAACCTGGGTGAACTTCCCCATGAATCCTGGGGAGTGGGCTTACTATTAGAAAACATGCATAAAAAATTATTCTTTTTTTGAGGAGAGTGCACTGTTAGCACTCACACTTGAGTTTGTAGAATAGTATATGAATTTGTTCTATCCATTATTCTAGGAGGTGAAAATGAGTACTTAACTTTTGATTCTTCATGTCAAGGATATTCAAATGTAACTGTTGAAGACGATTGGATAACAGTTTAGTTTTTTTAAAGAAATCAAATGTTCGGAGATCTCAAACCATAAAATAGTTTTTAAAATGGGGATATTGATTATGTTATTGAAAACATTGACCAAATATCTGAATTGTGTAATGATATAAGATTAATCGTTGAATAGTTGCGAAAGAACATTATCACTGTAGTTGAGGTTTCGGGAAATCAAGTCAGAAAAAAGGTTTACATACCCCGAATGAATTTGGTACCATCTGATTTAGAACTATCCCTTAAATTCTAGAGAAGACGGTTCTCAAGAGTCTTTTGTTTTACTACGACTATTAACAAAAGTCAAGGTCAAACATTTATGGTATTATTTTTAACCAATTCAATATTTACTTATTGTCAGCTTTAATTTAATATTGGTTCCAGATACCAATAGAAATTGCTACAACCATACCAAAAATATTGTGTACCCTGAAGTCTTTTAAAAAATTTGGAATTAAAAAGATCTTTTCGAGTACACTTTTAATTCATCAACTATTATTTATTTTACTTTGTCGTTGTTATCCATTGATTAAAATTCATGTTAGAAATATATTTACTTGATCTCGAAAATTATATTCCATTGAAAAAATTCCAAAATAAAAAAAATCCGTTCGACCCCGTGCATCGCACGTGTGAAAATACTAGTAATTTTGAAAAGTTCACTCTCATTCCACGTTTCAGAACCGGATTTGGCGACCCGCTCCTCCTCCTCCTCCTCGAGATAAGGTATATGGTATAACCGGTACGGTACATCCGGGTAGTACTCATTCTGAAGTAGACTAGTTCTCATTCTCGCACAAATATAATTAACGTGGTACTCATTCTTAAAGAATGTAGTACTCAATTTCATACATTAGTTCAATATAATTATAATATTAATCTAAAAATAATGTAGTGTTCATTCTAAAATAAAATATTAATCAATCTCAAATAACTTAGTATTCCCTCTCATGTAAAATAAAATCCATATCACAACCGGCAGAGCATCAGGCACCAGAGACGAGCTCGACACGGTCTCCATCTGCGGTTCTTTTATTCGCGACGGACGACGGAAAATCCAAACGGAGAGTTAACCGACGGCGAGGCTGAGAGAACGCCGGTGCAGACAAGAAGGCCGAGAAAGATCAGTTCGGTGATCCATGTAGCCGTCCATGCCAGCTTCCGCTTCTAATCATTTGACTTTGATGTAGCAAGATACAGACCCCTGTAAAAGATCACGGAGGTTGTTTCAGGTATGCCCCAAATCACTTCATAGAAATTTAATGTGTCATTTTGATTCAGTCCATTCAAGTGTTAAATGAAGCAGAAGAAGGGATTTCAACCCTTATTTTCCTACAATTGGATGCTATTTAACTATACCATAAATCGTTTAACTTTAAAAAGAAACTCTGGTCTTGGTTTGAACTTCTATTCCAACCAAACAATTTCTATTTCATTCAAAAGCTGGCTAAATTAAGCTAGGAACCTAAGTAAGGGACAAAGGGAGTACCATTTTTTGAATATATCAAAGAGTATCAACATTAAATTTATGCTGTGACTATCAAAATTTAATTTGCTTTACACTTACATAGTTATGTAAACTTATACTAGAAGTCTACAACAATTTCATGTAGATTCAGATATAATAATGCACTGAGAATTTTTTTAGCTGCATATGTGATTTGGGCAACTTGTTATACCATCAGATATTCTCTATGTTGCAGCTGATATTCTGAGTTTTGTGGCAGTGTATTGAGATGTAGTTGGAGCCACTGAGTAGTCGTCGTAATTTTGTTTAAGGAAATTCAAGATCATGATTAAAAATGTACTCGTATATTTTTCAGAACTTTGAACATTTAGGGTCCGTTTGGTACACGGAATTGAATTCATTTGGAAATTGAAATTCTATGGAATTGATTTGGATGGAATAGAATTCTGCAATTTCAATTCGTTTTTGGCACTACTCCAAATCCACATATTTTTGTGCTACCAAACAGCAGAATTGGAATTGGTGTCCCCAATTCCAATTCCATAGTTTGACTTCCGTGTTCCAAACGGAGCCTTAGTAATGAGCACAAAAAAAGATACGGCTTTTTTGACTTTACCTATTCCTTTTCCTTACAAATTGTAATCTTACATGCTATTTTCTCACATTGTCCATTCCATGCATCATTTAGTGCTAGTTTTAAATCCTTAAACTTAGCAGATAAATGTGGCTATAGGGGTAGCTATGGTGAAGTGTTCTGGTACCCAAAAAAATGAAAATATATAAATAAAAAAAAAGCACACATTCTTAAGTGATTGCGTAAAAGAAAATGGAATAAACCAAACACAAACTTTAGTAGTTCTTCTTGACCCTTTAAGTTATGTTTGCAGCATGCAGGTTTCTTGCAGTATGGTTACTAATATTCTATCATATGGATGTCCTGCAACCTATACACTTTTATCCCATGAATACTCCAGATCCAGCATAGTAGTCGTTTGCCTTGAGAGACCTTCATATTCACTCATTAGAGCACTGCATTTTCAGTTATCATGTTCTGCCAGTAACTGGGGGCGACCTACTTTAATAAAAAAGTATGAACAAATTTTCCTCTCCCTTATACACTCCCCTTTCCAGATAAAATGATCAACAATGTGATCCACTTATCCATTTACCACATGTCCACATACTAGTTCAGTTTAACTTGCAATTCTTGCAAGAATTTTTATTTAATTGTTAGTTGTTACTGTTTTACACTATGTTTGGTTCAAGGAATACGAAAGGGAAAAGAAAAGAAAATGAAATGGAAAACAGTTTTTCTTGTTTAGTTGAAAGAGGAAAAAGAAGAGGAAAGTGGAAGGAAAAGAAAATGAGAAGGCAAAATGTACTAAGAGGGGAGAAAACCAAATTCCTTTCATTTTGGTGAGGAAAACCGAAAATGAGAGAAAACCATTTTTTTTCTTTTCCTTCCAAATTCATTGAACCAAACATAGAGTTAGTGTCATTCTGAATATGCGGTGATGATCTTTTCTCCTGGGATTGGCAACTCAAGTCTGTCTCTTCTCATTTATTTAGGAGGAAGGCATGGTCGGTTAGAAGCAATGTGGATAGCAGCAGAGGATTGGGTTCTTCTTTCACCGGTGACAGCAGCAACACAACACGGCTTATTAGGGCCATTAAAGCTCTTCGAGTCAAACTGAACGAAAGAATAATGGGATTGAGNCCGTAATTGGGCAGACTGGTGATTGGGATGTTCTTTCTGCTGTATTGGCAGTGACTGTGGTGGAGGGCATTGGGGCTCTCATGTACAAAACATTCTTTCCTTTTGTTCAAAAGATGAAGAACTTCATCACCATGCTTAATTACTGGAAGACCGGGCTCACTCTTGGTCTTTTCTTGGACTCATTCAAGTATTAGGTGGGAATAGGATCGAGGTACGAGATTGTGTGCATGAGCAATGGTATTCTTGAGAACAAACACTCTAAAAGATCAAATGAAATGCTCTCCCTCTATTTGGGTTCTTCCTGTGCATATTATGCTCTCTTGAATATTGTTTGTGTACCCACATGTCCTCTAAACGAATGGTTGAGCTGTATAAATCTAAGCATTTCCTACTTATCATGTCATCACACATTTGATGGGTTTCCAGGTATTGATAACTTCCTTTACTGCTCTCTCGTCTAGCAGCAGAGACCACTTACATATCGAAAGATTTGAGCAGTCAGCAGGAAATCCTATACGGCTCCGTTTGGTATGCAGAGTTCAGGCTATAGATTTGAAATTGGAGACTTCAATTTCAATTTTGTGGTTTGATGACACAAAAATATGTGGATTTGGATTTGAATTATAATTCCAAATTTTCCAATCCTCATTTTCAATTCTAACAGGAATAGAATCTTAATATTAGTATTTATTTCTTTATTCTTGTGTTACTATATTTATCTTCCTCTCTTATTTAGGATTCTACACAATGTACTATAAATACTTCTTGAGAGTTCATTATTCAATGTGATCAACATTTTATTAAATTGTATCATGGTATTGAGCAGATATTCTCAAAAACCCAGTCTCCTCTTCTCGACCGGTCTCTTCTCTTTTTTTGTCGACGGTGGACCGCCGAATATGGCCTTCACGTCTGACCCTTTAGCCTCTCTTCCTTCCGGAGTGAAACTTCTACTCCATATCTCATCCCCAAAAAAACTCACAGATTCAAACTTCTCTCGATGCTAATCTCCTTCTTGGATGGATCGAAGGCTATGAAGAAGCGTCACCAAAAACAATCTCTTAGGATGGGAAGGTATACCCGTCTCTGATTGACACCCAAATTCGTGCATGCCTTCTTGCTATTATTAGCCTACTGTTCACAAACATGCTCGAAGCTTTACTGCTTCTACCGCTCTCTAGGATGCTTTTGCGGCCTGACATAATTTAGTGTCGATCGCCTTTATTTACCAACTTTGAGACAAGCTTCACACGCTTTAAAATGGCACAAAAATTATGACCCACTATCTCGATGAAGTTGCCAATATTCTCACAGATCTAAATTCTCTGAATGAAAAGATCCATGAATGGGATGTGGTAAATGCTGTTATCTGCGGTCTTCTTTCCTAATACCCCTTCTTTAAGCAGAACATTCTCAAGAACAATGAGAATATTAGTATAATCACTTTCTGAATGGCTCGCCTCTAAAGAAACCAACCTTGAGATAGAAAATAAATTGAGCCTGGCTGTTCTACTTCTGGGAGTGCACACATGGCTCTCTTTTCTTTAGGCGGTCGAGGTGGTAACCACGGCCGATCGTATTCTGGATGCGAGAATGGTCCCCTCGCGGAGGTTGAAGAAATGAAAGAGGAAGAGGCCACGGTCCTCTGTGTGATCTTCTAGTTTGTCAAATATGTGCGAAGTGTGGCCACTCTGCTGCTACATGTTGGTACTGCTCTGATGACTCTTATACTGTGAACAATTCTGCCACCACATCTCGTGCTATGCATGCCACCACAAGTAGTCAATATGGTGATTGGTATCTTGATAACGTGCCAACACCCATGCTACGCATGATCTCTTACAGTTGCAATCTCCGACTCTGACTTCATCTCCATATAAGTTGCCAACAGCCATATTACTCCATCTTCCACACACTGGCTAGGGTTATATTCATAGACCCCATGGTAAATATCACATCCTATCCCTTATTACGTTCCTTCTCTTATCTCAAATTTGCTATCGTTCACCGCTTTACCAAGGATAGTAACTGCACCCTTGTTTTCAATGCAAAGAACTTTTAAATAGTGGACAACGTTGCGAATCAGGTGCGGTACACGGGTCCTCGTTAGCATGGATTGTACACCCTCCTTCTAGGCCCATGTTCGTTGTGAGTCAAGTCGTTACAACGTCTACCTAGCATCGCCGTCTCGGTCATCCGGCTCCTGCTATGAGTTCATTATTCGACGTGGTCAATATTTTACCAAATTATCTCAAATTTTATAACACAACAAAAGAATTTGAGTTCTATGCTTCAAAATGAAATCACGTGGATCCTTTTATGATCATAAGAAAGAAACATGTCGTATAAACTTTTTGTGTATTGGGAAAAATAGTTTCTCGGCTGGCTTTTGACTCCTCTGACAGACTTTGAATTTTTGACTAATCAAAGAAACCAAATTAAAAATTATAAACTAAAAATTAAAATTTTAAACTTAAAAATATATATTTAAAATTTAAACTTTAAAATTAAAAATGTAAAACACATTAAGGCCTCAGAACTGGCATTCGAAACACAGGGCCATCATAGGTTTGGGCCATATATCCCGGATTGGGTAGCCCAAATTGCAAGATCTTGTTTTTGATACCCTAGCAGAATATATAGTCCACATAGTTTTGATCTCCCCTCGCAATTGAGTTCCCAGACACTTCTTTTCTTCACCATCTCATTCTAGCATTTGCCCTAGAAAACGCTATTACGAGTTCTTCGCCGTCTCCCTTCGTATCCCATTCGAAGGTTTTGTATTTTTTTTAAATCCCAAATTAATTTTGTTGTATTATGTCTTAAGTAAATGCTGTTTAGTTTTTCTTTTGAAGATCCAAGCTATTAAGAGGATGAGATGATGTTTATTATTATCAAAACCTTGACTTCTACTATGATGGCTACAAGTATTCGTACTGACTGATCATTCTCTGTTATTATTATTATTATTATTATTATTATTATTGTTATTATTATTGTTATTATTATTATTATTATTATTTACGGAGTATTATTATTATTATTAAAGTTTGCTCTTTATATAGTTTTCTGGGCCTTAGAAGAATTAAATGAGGAGAGAATATACATTTGATGGATAAGCATGATTGCATTGTATCAAGTATTAGCTCTAACTGATAATTCTTGGCCTTTTTTAGTCTTTCCATTCCATTTAATCTTTTTAATTTTAACAAGTTTTTTTTATTACATTTGGAGTTTTGTAAAACTAATTAATCTTTCTTGGCCTAAGAGAATGAGGTGATGAATGTTATGATATGGTGATGGCCTACATGATGGCATTTTTATCATGAATAGTATTAGCTCTAGCTGATCATTCTCTTGCCTCTGTGAAGTTTACTTTTATTATTTTTGTTTATTTTTTATCGGTTGATTTGGACATTTGTTTTTCCTAATTTAAATTTTTCACTGTTGAAAATTGAATTTTTCTTTGGTTTTCTCTTTGGGGAGTATCACAGAAGGACCATGCTACACTTACACCAAAAAATGTACTCCATTTGTACACCACAATTATGCACAAATATTTTGATGGTTTACACGGATACAAAGTGTTGGTGCGTTAATAAAAATTAGTTTTACACCAACACAAAATGTTGGTGCAAACCTACGGGGTACAAATTGGAGTATAAATGTTGGGCTACACATGGTGGAACAAGTATAGCCTACCAAAAACACCAATTCCTTTTGTGGTTGACAGTGAAAGTTAAAATACAAACTAAGGGGAGAATTAATACAGAGTTTTTTCCAGTAGATACTACTATCTCCGTCCCAGAGTATTTGTCCACTTTCATTTTTACACACCATTCAATGCATTTCTTTAATCTATTTTATCTTGTAATTTGTATATTAAAAAATTATAGAAATTATATATTAATAATCTATATGTTAAGACAAATCAAACAAGATCACACATGACTATATTTAGGCTTACACATTGAGAGAATTTGATGAGTCAAAGTGCTTAGATGAACAGTTTCAAAAGTCAAAAGTGGACAAACAAAGCGGGACTGAGGGAGTATTTGCTTGTTGAATATTCTATTAAGGGGGAAAGGAAATTATGAGGATGCCCCAAGGAAAAGAGAGTGTACAAGCTGCGCAATTTGGCGACAAGGATGAAGAGACATTGGTGATCTGTGTAGAGAAGTTTTATTCCACACAAGCAGCCTAAGAGCGCCCCCATTAGATGTAGAAGTAAAGGGAGGACTACTCCCACCTCTCTCTTCCACATCATCATTTTGGGTCCCATTACATAACTTCTTCTTTCATTTCTCCACATCTCTTACATTAAAAGGATTATAAAAATACAATTTATTATATGATCCACATGAATTTTATTATTAAATATTTATACTATACAACCATTTTAATTAAAAAATTGACAAAAATAAAAATATGCTTCATTAATTAATTTAATTTTTTTATTAAATTTATTTTAATAAACAAATTTCTCCCAAAATTATACTCCGGGGAATATTTTAAGTTAATTAGGATAACTAGTCTTTTTCAGTTCTTTAATATGTTATTTTTCAATAAATCACATTTAATTTATACTCTCTATTTGAAAAATGTGTAGCTGAAATATATTTAGAAGAGGTATAATTACAAATGTTACCATATCTATTTTTCTAAAAAAGAAAATGGAAAAGTGTAAAATTATTTTTAGATCTAAAACATGTAAAATTTCTTCAAAAAATAAGTAAATAAAAATATATTTGAAGATATTTTCCAAAGTTAATTCAAAACATCTTTATAAAAAAAAATAACTAACCCAACAAAAAAAGTTAAGAGCCGCCAATAAAAAATTCTTAAAACATTTAATTAATTTTTTTCCTGTAAATGAATTTGTAATTTATGGTATACAAATTTGTAAAAGTTTTCAAAATGGTTTCTTAAAAAATTGATAATGGAAAATTTAGGTAGATATGAAAGCTAAGAGAAGGACACATGGCATGCTTTGGTTGGCCAACTTCTTCCTCTTATTCTTCTTCTCCGCGGAGCACTACTTTTCCATTTTTGTATGGAAAATCGCGCCGGAGGAGTCCTCCTCCAACTCGTCCATCTAATGAGAGGAGTACTCTTCTCCTCCTTTCTAGTCCGGCCGATGCGGATGGCCTAATATTCTTTTGCCAACGCCCTTTAAATTAAAATATTTTTCAATTATTAAATGAATAGCTCGTTTTCTTTTTTCTTTTTTTTCATAAATAGAAGACATATTTTTGTTGGGAAAAAATGAAAAAATGTTTTTCAAAACTATTTTTTTGGAGATGTATTTTCGAAAAATAAAATTGCGATTGAAATAAAAATGAAAAAAAGAACTAAAAATGTACTTATTTATGTCAAATAAAATATTTTCTTTTTTTATTCAAAAAAATTCTCATATTTTAACCTATTGGGTAAAAGAATATATAGAGTAATGTCCTTTTAATACTTCGTAATTAGTTAATTATATATTTATAACTTTATTTTGAGATGTGCAACAAAGAGGTGGTGTATATTCGTGCATTGTATGCTGAGACATTTGTGTGTGCAATGATAAAGAGAACGGAACATCGAAACATCCAATAAGTAATAATAGAACGATAAGTTTACTTTTAAATGTATACTAATGGTATAATGTAGTATAGTTCATGTTATTAATTACTTCCTCTGTCTCAATTATAGTGTCTGTTTACTATCTACATGGTCAAATTTTATTCATTTTCTTTCTCTATTTTCGTTAACAATTTGATAAAATAAAGTATTATTGTCACTATTAGTTTTGTAGATCTTTTGATGTAGTATTTTAATATGTAATTTTTATTTTTAACTCTATACTATTTGTCATATAAAATGATTTTAAAATATTTTCAGTCAAACATCGTAAGCCGAAACAAGCAGTATAAATTGGTTGGAGGGAGTACATATCAGTATACAATTACAAATCCTGAAAAATTTCTTTATAAATAACATTCCAAGTATAATCTAGCGGAACGTTTTCTTCGTCGCAACTCAAAATTTCAAACCCTCTTGATTTATGACACATGAAACAACAACATATAGTTGACCGTGGTTGAAGACCGATTTTTTTAAGAGTAGATCAACATGCGACAAAGATTGTCACGGACTTTTATTAATAGTCATTGCATATGATGTCATGACATGAAATTATTTTCTTTGAAACTTGAAAGACATCCTTTTGTTTGAAGGAATAGCGAAAGCTTAGGGATTACAACTTCATGACCGACATTTTTTCCTGTCATCAATATTTGCGGTGTTGATTGAATTGGGGGATTTGTGATAATATCCGGAGACTGATCGCACCGTTGGAGGTCATTCTGACCGTGCCTGACTGCTCGCGGGTGATGACGCGTGGCTTAACTGACTCCCTACCTTTCCCCAATTTTAAAAATTCTCGCGCTCTTACTTTTTTGATTTTATGAAATAATTTCGAGACTAAAGCATAAGACTAATGTCAAAGCATAAACAAAATTGAAAATTGCAAGTTTTATTTATATTTTACGAAGTAATTCTTAAAATAAAACTTATGTGAAATATATAATATCAAAATCTACTCTAAATTCTCAATATACAATACCACATTTCACACTTTTAATTTGAAAATAAAATAAAAAAATTATATTTTAGTACTTACTCAAAATAATTTAGGCTTCTACCCTTTACAATTTTATGACTTGCACAGTTGGGAGACGAAAAAATTCTAAAGTATGGAAAGGCATTTTTTATTTGCTCGCTTACAAATGACACAATCTTAAGGCATTTTAGCTACTTATTATACCTGGCAAAAAATGATCCGACCTGTTTTTGACCGAAACCCGGCCTGAAAATACTGGGTTTTGAACAAAGTTTTTGACGACCGAACACGAAGTTGATCGAACCTGTAATGACCCGCTAAAAATGGGTCAAACCCGACCGAACCCGAACCCGACCTGACCGACCTGCTAAAGTAAGAAATTTTCAAAATCATACACTTTACTACTCATTTTTAGTTCATAAATTCATATTTTCAAACAAAATTTTAACAATATTGCATAATTATCTTACTTTTTTTGCCAAATTTAAGCATTTTTTAAATTTCTTATATTAATTTATATATCTAAAAATTACTTCAGAATTTAAAATAAAATAACCTTATATATTTAATACATTTTTTTGATATTTTAAATTTATTAAATAGAAAATGTAAGTGTTAATGTGAATTTAAAAATTCAAAAAACCAAAGTCATAACCCGTTGGGTCGACCCAAACCCGATGACACTGGGTCATGAACATACAATTCTCAACCCGATCCCGAATTGACCCGAACCCGAAATAACCTGAACTCAAAGTGACTGAACCCGAACCCGACCTGACCGACCGATTTGCCAGCTCTACTAGTTACCAAGTATTTTTGGGGAATTTATTTCGGAGGCAATGATTAATTTTTGATATAGTTTTTTTTTTGGAGAGCTTTTGCTTCATCTCTTCATTATGTTAACGTGTTAAACAATTAGTTTTCAATGTTTACGCCAAGTAACTATTCATCTACATTGGGTAAGGCAAAAAGGCTAATTCTTTAAAAACTCTATTTTAAAAGTTTTTTTAGGATGATTTTTTCTGAAGCCTTACACTTTTTTGGCCTTTCCAGCCATAAATAGCCAATTTCAAATATCAAACAAATCTAAAGTGAACATTAATAATAAAGCATTCCATATCACTTCATTTTTTGTGAAATTGCAAATTGAATGTTAAGTTGCTTCTTTTTTTTAATAGAGAATTATTTTACCTCTTAAAAAGTTACTCCCTCGGTCCAGTTTTTAATAACTTATACTTTGTTACAGTGTATTTGTTCAATTTGAGTCTTTTCAAGGATTAATTTTTATTTTAATTGCTCTCAATTTATATTGCATATCAGTACAAAAAAGTAAAGTTAAGAAAGTTCTCACCAAAATAAATTTAAGAAAAAATATTTTTATGCGAATATAGTTAGTGTATAAAATCAATCGTGGACCACAACTACAAACTTGAGCTTTTTAGTGGAATTGATTTTCTGATATGTTATCAAAGCCTTAATGACCAAGAGGTCACGAGTTCCAAACTCACCACTACCCAATTTTTAAAAAATTAAGATTTCTCGTGCAATGTTCAAAAAAGTTATGTCGACACGTGAGAAGATGTGTTAGAGTATATATATCCTTTAATATAATAAAGGAGACTCGGATGCACAAAAATTCGACATTTGGCATGTCTATGTGGCAAAATTTAAACATGTCAGCACGCCACGTAATATCCGAGTAAACCAGCAGAAATAAATTATATACAATGCACCAGCAGATCTCTCGTTAAAAACAATTGACCGCATATTTTGTACGCAATAATCACTGGCCCTTCAACGAAATTCTTTCCTTTAGATTACAACAATACGAACTCCTATTATGATGATAATATAAAATAATTAAAAATAAATATGAAAAAATATAAATACTATTTAAAATATAAATATAATATTTTTCATTTAATTTAAATAGAATTTTAGGACCATGCTACATATATTAATCCTTTATCTTACTTCCATATTTAAAAATTACATACTTAAATTAATAAGTTACAAAGGTTTATTGTAGAAATTCGTGTATAATAAGAGTTAAAATCAATGGAGTACCTATATTAATAGAAATTAGAATATTATTATTACAAAAAAGATTATTAAGAAACAATCTTAAATAATTAAATGTGAAACTCTCCTAATAAGGCCGTGCACTAGAAAATGATTTATGCATAGCCATGAATGGTATGATATGATGTCCAAGAATAGATTAATTCCTTAACATATGGTGATTGACAAAATTTACAAAAAATATTATTGAGAAACAATCCTAGATAGTACTAAATTTGAAAATTATGATGACGAATATATTATTCATCACCTTACTTATATTATATACTCCCTCCGTCCCACTCTCTTTGTCCACTTACCTTTTGGCACACCATCCAATGCACTTCTTTAATCTATTTTATCTTGTAATTTGTATATTAAAAAATTATAGAAATTATATATTAATAATCTATATGTTAAGACAAATCAAACAAGATCACACATGACTATATTTAGGCTTACACATTGAGAGAATTTGATGAGTCAAAGTGCTTAGATGAACAGTTCCAAAAGTCAAAAGTGGACAAAGAGAGTAGGACGGAGGTAGTATGTTGGATAATACTAATATTATTTTGGATTCCTTTACTTATATATGGCAATCCTTAATTATGTATCTTGGATAATCAATAATATTATTCTAAATTCGTTTATTTTTAGTAAGGGATTCGTAATATCTAGGATGGACCCAATATTATTTTAAATTCCTTACTTTTATATATCTAACTGACAATGAGTTAAATTGCTCACTTTTATATCCAAATTTATGGAAACGCTTATATACTTGGATCAAAATCCTATTATAAAAAGAGATATGTAATGAGTTGAAACGTGACATCCACCACCCATTTTCATTTTCTATTTCAATACATAGGCATTCAGAATTAATTATGTAATAAAGAAGCGGAGAATCGTTAATTCAACTTCAGCATTTTGTTTTTAAAAGGATTAGTGGTAGGAGCATCCTATTTTTCAATTTCAATATGGGCTATGGAAAATCAAGTTGATGATACATAGACGAGATCAACTAGAGATGCAAGAGGAAGGAGAAAAGGAATACTTCAACAAAAAAAGGACATAGAAAAGGTACGTACTTTAAATATTATTTTATCTTACTATATTTAATTATGTTTTATTGTTTTAAGGTAATTTGATACATAACATTTTTGAATGTTTTAAAATAACAAAATCAAACGGGATATTTTAGTGACCAAAATTTTTGTATTTAAAATTTATATGGTTGCTTTTTAATGAGCATTTAAAAATTTTCTTATCTTCATATCTAAATCGTTAGTATCGATAAATTAATTATATGTTAAATAAATAAAGTTTTATACAAAATTTAAAATTAGATGTCAATTTTAGAAGCATTTAACAAATTCTCCATGTGAAAATAAACATTCCAAGAAAAGATTACATAAAAATACGTGTACTTTTTTAATTATAGTCATGTTATTTTATCAATTGTAATCTACATCCGTAAAAAATTAAACGTCGTTCATAGGTTTCATAAGAATCATGGATAATTAAAATGTATAATTGTTGATTTATCTAGGTATGCATATCGCTCACTGATTATTTTTTATCAATTTTATATTTACATCAACAGGAATAAAATGATGTCTAACCATGACTCTTTAATTTCATTTTTTATATTTTTAATGAAAAAAAATAATTTATACATATTGAATATTTTAAACAATTGAATGGGCGAATATTAACAAAGTTGTGTAAAAATATATATTCATACGGTTCGGTTCGGTTTTGCATAAAAAATATGTAAACCGTTGGTTATTTGGTTCGGTTTTATACGATTTTTATTTCAGTTTTTTTCGGTTTATAAAAGTAGAAATTTATAAGCATAAAAAATTGTAAAAACACTAACTCGATAAAATAATAAAAATTTGTTTGATTTTTACACAAAAACAAAAACCAAACGGAAGGTTATTGTTCCTTTTGGTTCAATTTTACATAAAAAATATGTGTTGAGTGCCTAACAAACATTTAGAAGATTCCAAATACTTCCAAAGACATCGTATGTAAAATCAATTACGAAGAATTTATATTTTTTTGTATAATACTTTCATTTTAATTATAACATCAAGGTATTTTTTTATGTAAATATGTAAATTACGCATATCAATTTTTAATCTTAATATAATTCTAAATTAGGATTAAAGTTTATAATAATATGGCTAGTATATTTAATTAATAGATAAGAAAATAATTTTAATCGACTAGTAATTTATTAGCATTTATATTTCTATTATTTTTCTACATATCACATATATTCATATTAATAAAGTGAAGTATCTAAGAAAGTTTGGTTTATTCGGTTTGGTTTTTCAAAATGAAAACCAAAATGGAACCAAACACTAACGGTTCGGTTTGGTTTTTTTTACATTCGGTTTCAGTTTTTTCGGTTCGGTTTTTTTCTAGCTCGTTTCGATCGATTTCGATTCGGTTTGCGGTTTTCAGTTTTTCCAACCCAGCCCTAGTACCATCTGATCCATGGCTACCCTTGAAGTTCCAAAGAAGACAATTCCCGATCGCCTCATGTTTTGCTATGACTATCAACAAAAGTCAAAGTCAAACATTGTCATTTATGGGATTATTTTTAACTAAGTCAGTGTTCACACATGGTCAACTATATTTTGCTGTTTCACGAGTGAATACAAAGACAAGATTAAAAATATTAGTTCTAGATGACAATGTAAACCCTTGCAACCATACCAAAAATGTTGTATACCCTGAAATCTTTTAGAAAATTTGGTATTAAAATAAACATTGTTAACTCTACATTTTGTTCCTCAAATATTATTTATTTAACTTTGGCTTTTTTCATTTGTAGTATTAAAAATCGTGTGAGCAATATATTTTCTTTATTCTGAAAAATAAATTTCATTGAAATAATTCAGAATCAACATAAATTTATTTTGATCCCGTGCGTGGCACGGTTAGAATACTAGTAATCATTTATGTGCCACAACCACAAGCTTGAACTTTTTAGTTGAATTGGTCCCGGATATACATTAAGAGTCAAATTGAACAAATATACTGGGACAGAAGAAATATTTGTTTATATATTTTCATTAACCATTTGATAAGATAAACTAATTTTGTCACATCTTATTTTATTGACCTTTTGATATAGTTTTGAACAGTGTAACTTTTTTTATATAACAATTTGTGAATAAACTAATTTTAAAAAAGATAAGATTTAGGCTGTTCAAAATAGGAAGATAAAAATGGATGGAGGGAGTAGATTATCTTAGAAATATTTACATGAATAATCCAAAAAAATCTTAAGTGTATGTTAGTACTCCAAAATTCAATAAATTACACTAGTGCTGCTGAAAATTTTACATGTACTGTTAATTGGTTGCTGCAACCCCGGCCAAATACTGCATATGTAAATGAGATATTAAATGTTAACTGCATAGTTTTCAAAACCGAACCGGTGATCGAACCGGTCAAGGCACTGGTTCACTGGTTTACGGGTCGAACCAGTGGTTCGAATGGTTGAACAAGTGGTTCAAACATTTTTAATATATATATATATATATATATATATATATATATATATATATATATATATATATATATATATATATAGAAAGACACAGAGACTGGAGCTGTTGGAAGATCTGCGAGAAAAAGATAAGTCTTCATTATATCTCTTCCACCGTCTTCTCTCTCTATCCCGCGCGTTCCCTTGCGCTTCTAAAACGTAGATGCGTTTTCGAGATGGTCACTGAGTCGACCAGGGAAAAAAAGCTAGGCGACCAACTAGGCGTGCACAAAGCCTCGCCCAGACGCCTAGGCGACGCCTTGATAACTATGGGAAAGACGTGACCGGTCGCTTCCCAAGCATTCTGCACTTCCTTGAACGCCAATTAATTTGTTGATCAGTCATACTTGACCTATCACTTTTTGCCTGGCCGAGCTGGGCCGGGTATTGGTTATACCCATCAATAAGTCCTCCACTTACCAGCATTGTGAGAATCATAAACATCGGGAAGTAAACATAGCACTTCTTCCTGGACCATATCCAATATCAAGATGAGGTGGCGCCAATTTGGTTTTCAAAATTCAAAATTTGTTCCCTCCAAAACCTGATACCTGGAACATTCCAATTGACACCTCGTCGTTGCCTAGTGTGCCACGTCTCCCCTCATCATTATGACCCATGGCTTCCCCCTATAAAAGCTTCTCCTCTCTTTGAGCTTCTCTCACTTGCAACTTCCAAGCAACTCGTTCTCGACCGGTCACTTTTTCGTCTCTGCGCTTCCTCCAAGTCCTCCTAGACCTTCCCTTCATATATTGTTTTTCTTGGAGCTTGCCCGGTATTTTAGTCCTCCTAGTCCTTGTATATTATACCGGTACATACTCCTCCAATGTCTTCCTAGAGTGATAATCAAAACGCCTTTTGATTATCACTAGTTCTGAGTCTGAGTCCTCATCCTCTAGTTCTGAGTCTGAGTCCTCATCCTCCTCCAAACCCGCAACCCCGGCCCTCATTCGTCGTGCTTCTAAGCAGCCAGCCACCCAGGCAGGGGAGATCGTCGTCCAGGAAGCCCGTGCCTCTCAACCAAATGCCCGGTCGCTTGGACGAAGAGACTGATGATTGGGAAGAATGGGTTGAGCGGATTGAGGCCACGGGCTTCTTTCCAACTGATATTAGGTAAGTATGCCTTATTCCCCCCAAGGTTCCACACAAGACCGTGAGTGAAATCAGGTCTAATCTTCCAAACGGCTACCTTCTCCATTACAACCCCAACTAGCCAAACATATTGAACCCCACCATGATACATGGTTAGGTTTCGATGTTGCCTTGCTAGAAGGTGGCATCCTCTTCCCCCTTCGTCCTCTCCTTGTTGAGATTTGCCATTGATTTTCTATTTCGCCTGATCAGCTTACTCCCAATGCACACCGGTTCCTTAATTGCTTTGCAAATATATGTCAATCTTGAAACTCAAACCCTCGCTAGACTGTACATATTTGATGTCTTACCTGGTGGCAAAAACTGCCCGGGGTTTGTTTACTTCCATTCTTTTTTGAAGAGGTCATTTGTGACTGACCTTCCACCTAGCCATAAGAAGTGGAAAACCCGATACATATTCATCGAGTTCGTTGTGCTTGACGCCGACCTGATCTCGAATGATGACCTAGAATCAAAGGATGAGCAGATCTCCCGTCTTCAAGCATAAGTTGACTCCCTCGAGCAAGCCTATCTGCCCGGAACCTCTCCCTGGCCAACAAGGGCACCCAGATAGAGCATCTTGTCAAGGTTCAACAAGAGAAAATGAAGGGATAAGAGTGCTAGATGTCCAGGCTGCGGGAAGAGATTGACTAGCTAAAGGACGACCTCGCCCAAGTGGAGGAAGCTGCCCGGGCGAAAGAGGAAGCTTTCCCTTCCGCCATCGTGGAATGATCGGTCCAACACCCTAATGAAGTTTCCCAAGAATTCCTCGTCAACTGAATTCCTCGTCAACTGGGAGGACACGATGGCTTTCTTCAAGATTCTGTACAAGGAGCCCGGGCAT